TTGGAACCAATTGGTCTACCACGCTTCAGGCGTATTTGTGACTCGTTTGTAGTATTAACTTGTCCAACAGGGACTTCGACTCTTATTGGAGCATTAGCCGCTGGTACATATGACTTAGTCACCCTTTTTGGATCTGTGAATACATTTGGTAATTGGTTGGCTAGATTTTGCAAATGAATTATCTTTTGAATTTTTAGTTCACATTGTTTTGTACGAGGATCAAGATGAGATAGTGATAATTCATTTCAACTAATATCTTTTTCCAACTGTTTTTGTTCTCCCACTAATGTTGGGAAAATCAACTCATTAAAATGGCAATCAGCAAACCTAGCCGTAAATAAATCTCCTATTAATGGTTCAAGATATTTTATTATAGATGGAGATTCATATATATTCTCAACCTTCTTTGAGAACCCATTTTGGTTCTTTGAGGGGGCAATTGGAACATACATTGAGAAATGAAAGAAGACTTTCATCTCCAAATTTTGATATAAACATAATTCGCTTCTTTTTGGATGTAAAGCAATATCAAACTAAAATACTCAACAAACATTATCTCTCCCTAAAAATAAGGAGCTCCAATCGCACCTTCCGGTACACCTACCTTGTTTCGACTTCACTCTAGTTACTAGCCTTGCTTTTGACATCACCTTCCTTGTGGTTAAGGTAGTGATTTTAGGCATGGCCAACCCCCGTAGTGTGACAGGTGATGTGTGTACAAGGTCCAAGAACGAATTCACTACCATATAGTTGACCGATGATTATTAATGATCTTGACATCTTACATGCTAGTTGTAGCCTACTATCTAAATTGGAGAGTTGTAACCCTTTGACCCATCCAATGTAGCATAGGTGTTGCCCATGGCATAAGGAGCACGATGACTTGATGTCACCCTCACCTTCCTTTGGCTTATCATTGGTAGTTTGCTTAGGATTTCAAATTCAATGTTGACAACTAAACACAAAGGTTATTTCAAATAAAGTCTCGAATGAAAAATTTTGTTAGGAGAATAAATTCCACCAATTAACCATTTGTAAATTCAGTGAATACATTATACTAATAACATGGTTACGAAAAAAATAAATCGTAGTTGATTCTCAATTTTTTTTTTAATTTACACAACATATGTTCACTAGATTATGATTTTAGTCAATTATCATAATTTTTTGTTTTAGTTTAGTTTTTAAGTTTAAGAAGATTTATTTTGTTTTTATAAGTTTAAAAGATTTTACTTTGGTCTCTTAAAGTGTTTTTGTAAGACTAAATTGATCTCTTAAAAAATATAATTATTATTTTCTGAATTTTTCTTTAAATTTATAGAAAAATGACCAAAATATCTCTACTAGATTCTTTGCATTTATTTTTATTTTTTAAACATTTAAGGTAAAATAGAAAATGAATTTACTTCTCAATGGAACTTGTTAGATACACTACTGTATAGTTATAATTAATTTTAAAAGATTAAAATTAATTTTCAATTTCCTCAAATTTATAATTTTATATTTTTTTATTTGTAAGTAAAAAATTCCTAAGAATTTGATTTTGACTTATAAAATCTCCAAATTTTCATGGAAATTATCACAATATATATTATTTGAAAATACACTAACTTTATTAGTTTCATCACTTTTAGGTATGAAGCGTATGCTGACTTCATACAAGCAACTTATGAAAAATATTTTGGTTATTTTTCTTAATATTTTTTAAAACTTCTCAGACACTTTTCAAAATTATATTTTAATGCATATAACATCATTCTAATCTCAAAATGATATTTTATTATCTCTATAGCCTTTTCACCATACCACATTCATACAAGGGCAAAATCGTCCTTTTAATTACCTTTTTGAGCTTTATGTTACAAAAAAAAATTTAAATAACGATTTAGTAGATGTTGAGATTCTGATCGTCATTTCTAAGAACCAAATTTTAGTATTACTTTTAGAATTCTAACGAAAAAAATAATAAAACTTAATAATTAGAATTTCAGGGATGATACAAAAATGCTAGTTAAATTATATATTCTACAAAAGTTTTATCAAGTGAGTGGATGATAACTTAATAAATTTAAAATATTTTATCATATATTTTAATTAAAAATATTTTAAAATCTTATATTTAATATTTTTTATTGATATTAAATTAAATACATTAAATTATATATTTTAATGTAATATAGAAATGTGACAATGCAATACTCACATTTAGAAGAAAAATATATTTTAATCGGATAATATAGTTCTTGCATATTTCAAAAGGAGGAGATGTAATTTTATTTTAACAAGATTAAAAAAAATTAAATTATATATTTTAATATAAGAGGAAAATTAATATAATACTTATCTTTTAGAACATTTTTTTTCTTTTACACAATTTATGCTCAACTACTAAAATTGTTACATATAACTAGTACTTTAACAAGCATTGCATGGTCTAAATGTTTATGATATATAACTAAAATTTATAATAAATTATATATCTATACTATTAATAAAAATGAAATACATTTTTTTATATACATTTTGTTGACTGTGTTTACCTTTTGATTTCCAAACTATTCTTTCTCTCTCATACTTTTTTAATTTGATTTTTTTCTCTACTTTTTGTAATTTTATTTATCAAACTTCTCATACTCTTTAAATAACTATTTAAATCACTCATATTATTTAATTGTTAACTACCACACTTAGTTAACTCCAATTATTTATTTATTTAAAATACATAGAGGTACAAAGTTTTTTTTAATAGTACAAATAATATTATATTTAAATATATAAATTATATTATATTTCAAATTTGTATTAAAGAATATTTTTAAGCATATAAAATATAATTTATGTTTATAATAAATAATATATATTGCGACACAATATTTTTTAATTATTATTTTATTATAAAATATGAAATATTTGTTTAAAATCTAACATAATAAATACAAAATGAAATATATAAAAATTAAAAAAAAATCTGTAAAAAGTTTTATGTTTAAGAAAAACACCCACAGGGCATATTTTTTTTAAGAAAAATTACTAAAAATGCACAATATATATATAATATTAAATATTTTTATTATAAACAACAAAGAAGGAAAATATAATGTATTTTCATATATAATTTAAAAAATATAAATTGAATAAAATGAACTTTTATATTTAATTTTTACAAGCTATCCAAAACTATTAAAATTTGTAGCTAAATATGTTATTTTAGATAGCGAGTATCTTCTGTGATGTAAAAAAAAACAAAATTTTAATTTAAATATATTTTCAATTTCTTTAAATAAATATCGTTGTCTTATTTTAGTTTTTTAATATTTTTTTTTAATTTTTAGATCTTGTTATTTTTTAGTGTTATTTTCAGTCTTTATCACTAACTTTAACTAATTTAATACCAAGTTAAATCGGTCATCTTATAATTTATAATAGACGATAATATAAAAACTTTTACAGCGTGGTAAATGATAATAAAATAATATTAAAAAATTACAAGCCATGCATTTCTTTGACAAGGTACGAAATATAAATTGCTTATTGCTGTAGGAGAAGTGCGTCCGGGGAAGGATATTTTCTTGTTTTTTATTTTATTTTGGTGGTTCCGAAGATATTGTAACGATGAATGTTGAAGAAGAGGTTCAGCGCCTCACCCAAGAAATCAAGAGGCTTGGTGAGGCCCAAGAAGATGGTTCTTACAAGGTATAAATAACAAGACGACTCCTCTTGCTTTCTCTTCATTATTCAATCTTTTTTTTATTATTTATTTTTATTATGTTCCTGTGAATCTACATTTGTTTGCTTTATTCTTATAGATCTAGATCATGAGATCATTAATGGGATCTTGGGTCGTTAACAAACTCCGATCTTAACTTTGTTCACAGGAATTTTATTTTATCTTTTTATGCAACTCAGGATCTAGGCCTACCTCTCAAGTTTTGGGTTAAAAACTGAGGTGTCAATTCAATTTGAGTAACCCCAGAAGGAAGATCGTTCCTTTCCTAATGATTCCAAGCGCCTTGCAGTTTTTCATAGATTAAGATGAATGGAATGAAAAAGAACCATCCAATATTTAGAAGGAAAAGAAAGCCCTAATACCTGCTAACAATAAAATGAAACTTGAGCACCAACATATGCTGTACTAGTGAAATTTCATTGGGAACATTTTAAATTACCCATCCTTTTCAATGTAATGAAGCATTGAAGTAACACTAAACATCCTGTCAATATTTGGTGATCCAAAGCTTGCTCTTTAGATCTTCATCCAAGAGCATCACAAAAAATTAACTTTTGCTATGATGTTCATATTATTGAACATGGAAGCAAGCAAAATCCACTGCAGCACTGTAATCAAATGTGTTGGCAGGGGCATGAGATAGTTTGTTCTGTTTATAAGTATCAACATGCTGACAATTACTTTTGTAGGAAAATCCATTGATCAAATGGTGCATTTTATATTTTTCTTACAGATCTCCATTTAAAGTCATGGCAAGTAATGGTGAATATATTTGGCTGTTAATGAGCATCTGTGTGCAATTTGTAATTTTTATCTATAATTTTCAGCTGTAGTGTTTTTTGGCTGATCTTATACTCTAAAGAATAGCTTTTATTAAGATTAACAATGTCTTGTGTTGCGAAGGTTACGTTTGGAACACTGTTTAACGATGATGAATGCGCAAATATATTTGAAGCACTTGTTGGGACACTAAGAGCAGCGAAAAAGCGTAAAGTACTGAAATACGACGGTGAGCTACTGCTGCAAGGAGTCCATGATAATGTTGAAATCATTCTTAGTCCTGCCTCTGCTGCAGCAGCTGACAACTGATATACTGGTTGAGGACCAGAGAGTATCCTGTGAAAGTGAAACTTGAACCACCATCTCGTTTTTATGACCCGTGCAATATTATTCTGCATCATTGTGTAAAATATATGTGCGTGTGGAGACTTCAGTCATTTATCTCCTCTTATGGTAAAACCAGGATTTGTGGATTGTAATTTTTATGAAGTGATATTACACCTATTTTTATACATTATTTTTCCTTTTCCTCAAGTAAAAGTAATTTCCTTTATTTTATTCTCCTTACGATGTAGACCTTAAGCATCAAGAAATTTTTCATCTGATGTTAACATGCCTTTATTGCGCAACAGATTCTAGAAATAGAATCATGAAATAGAACCGCACCAGTAGTTGATACAAGACATGGCATACGTAACAGGGTAATATTCCAAAAAGGAACTGGTAAAAATATGCTATAACTGTAGAATTGAACTTGCTATTACTCGAGTATACCCAAAAAAATCAAATGATTATTGTTAAATCAGTACAATGACGTTCAGTGAACAACCTATGGGAAAATGTCTATCGCGACTCTTGTATGTCTATTGTCACCCACATTTAAATAACTTTGATCTAAAATAATCTATTTTGTTAGTTTTATGAAATTCAATTAAATAAGAGTGACAATGACACATCATAGTGACAGTAGACGCCAAGATTACTCTATAATGTACATGATTTTGGGTAGGATGAAAAACGATTTAAAAAATGGGAAAACTACTTGAAAATTAATGGGCCATCATCATCAGTGAGTTGGATATTGTCATGATGAACCAGTGAGAATAAACGCTTGCAGAAGGCTTTGCGCTGCTCGAGTTTCGTCAGGGGTGCCGGATATGACAATCGTCCTGTCACTTGTTCCAAGACGAGGTTCATGTACAATAACCTTGGCCCCTGATATCTGACAATGGAAACAAAAATTAAGTTAAAAAGAAGGATAATGCCAGATATCAAGTAATAAGTCCCATTGATCACCATAACAATGCCACATATCCAAACAAAAATACAGAAGCACGAGATAATGTAATACTTCGAAAATATCAAGTAATTTCGGCATCCTTGCTTAGTTCTTTTCTAGTAACAGACATGAACAAATAACTAATTATGGAATCATATTAGTAATCACATAAGCAAGTTCAAGAGTATTGTGTACATAAACTTAATCGAGATTGTTTACCTGTCTCAAGCGAGCCAGATTGCTACCATTTTCCCCATATACAGAGCCAATAACTTTATCAGGAACCACAATTTGCACAGTTGTGTTAGTAACAATGGCGGTTTTAATTCCACTGCAGACAAAAAGGAGTAATAATAAGAACTTATAACTCGACAATTTTTGACATCTTGTTATATATACTTGACTGACTATTTCCACCACTCATTCAGAAAACACTTTTCACTTCGGGTTTTTGGGCTCAGGGGAAGCCTCGGTGAAGATTTTAATGGGGATTACATATTGTTTGCTAATAAGAGACTCCTGGATACGAACCCAGGTTATGCAATTGTCACGGGGAAGTTAGTTAACTGAGTCAGCCAAGCCTTGCTGAAATTAGAAACCATGTCTTAGTAGCCTTAACCTTAAGACTTCACTGACTCACTCAATGCCAGGACCCCAAATAATAGCAGATAAACAATGATCCCGTAAAGGTCAATGTTGAATAAAACAAGATTTTCCACCAAACAGCAGAGTATGGGTAAAAAATAAATAATTCTGTAAGAAAATGTGACAATCAGTTTGGAATAAACAAGCAATGTCAAGCAAGCAGTAATGTGATTTGACTAGGGAATACGAAAAAAAATGCACATATGCAGATGCAGATATCCAAAGACAAAAGCCACTAAAGATTAAAGTTGAATAACTTTATGGATAGGAGCGAATAAAATAAATAGTTTTTTTTACCTGCTTGTTAATAGTGCGGAGGTGGGTATGAACGAAGGTACCCACAAATACCCCTAATTATTATATATATAAAGTAAATTGCTCCAATTTATTTTTAATATAAACAATTAAACATGTTTCAAAATATTTTTTTAATTATGTTTTATTTTCTCTATTTTTTTATAAATATTTTAACAAATATCATGGATACTTGTAAGTTGTAAATACCCACATATTTATACAATCCATGGATACAAGCATATGAAATGGATACAAGGTGGATTTTCATCCGACAGAACAAGTGGGGGGATTACTACTCGTGTTTGTCCCGCCCCATTATTATTCCTAGATCTGACCAAGTTACAGATGTCTTAAGCCACAAAAATCAACACTGGTTATACCAAATCATAAGTAGCAGTTCCAAGTTATCCAAATCTTAAATCTTTGATACTCTGACACTAAGAAAGCCTGAAGTTTGTTCCTCATGAAATCATTAAGCAAGTGTAATTTATTTTGCATATCACCAACCTGACAAGTTCTGAGCCACCTTTTCGAGAAGTCAATCCCCTGGCAACGTCATTGAAGCCTCTGGAATTTATCCCAGCCACTGTCTGCAATCAAATTTAATCATCAAATAAGGAAAACTTGGAAAGGAAAACCAGACAGAAGACACAGAGAAAGCAATATACCTGTGGTGCCCGTAATCCTGGCAAAGAATGTCGGTTGAGATTGTGAGAAACAGCAACAATTGGTTGGCCGCCAACGGGAAGGGGGTCCCTCAGTCTTCCAGGGGAACTGGTATCAGCTAGTACGGATGAAAGGCTCCTTGTTCCACCACTGTTTTGTGTACTAATAAAAAGATGATCTCGCAGTCTACCAGTTGCATTATGTAATGCACCTTGAACATTTAAAAACTGTCCGGATATCTGAGGGAAAAGTGAATAATTATTGTAATTAATAAATGCCTAAACATTATTGCAAGATTTTTCCTGATGACTTAAAAAAAAATATAATGAAGTAATGAACTACATATTCGAGAAGAGGAGGGGGGGGGGGGGGGGGGGGGGGGGGGGGGGGGGGGGGGGGGGGGGGGGGGGGGGGGGGGGGGGGGGGGGGGGCGGGGTTGTTTCTGAATAGAAGCATAACCAAGTAAAAAAGCATAACAAAAAAATATAAAAAGCAGTCTTCAGCATCTTTTAATTGTAAATCAAAATAAAGAATCATCTCCATACCTGTACCATTTGATCATTATCTGATACACACTTTGGAACCTGATCATTCCCAATTATTCTTATGCTAGCCCCTGTGACTCTCCGCATTTCTGAGACTATTGCCCCTCCTTTCCCTAACAAACAACCCACATGGTTTGATGAGACTACAAGTCGTGCAGTAACATGTGTCTCCTTTTTTGACCCATCTAGCCCCTTCTCAACAGCAGCCTCAACTGACTTGGAGAAAACAAGATCAACAGCCTTCTGTGCTGGGGAATATCTTAATTCAGGATTCTGCCAAAAATGAAACCACCAGCAAAAGAAAAAATTAATAGAAATAGTACAATTAACAACATATATATACAGGAATACAAGACGTAGGACAGAAGTAAAAGCAAAAAAGATTACATTAACAAACCTCTGAAGCAGTAATAGTAACTAGTCGATCCTCGCACGCATCTACTGAAGGACCAAAACTTATAGTAGCCCCTGATTCATTCTGAAGAGCTTTTACAATACTGCCCCCCTTTCCAATTATGGCACCAACCCTATCATTGGAACAAAGAATTTTAAAGGTCACTTCCTGCTG